ATTTGATTTAGATTTCTCTTCTGTTCACTCACTTTGCATTTTGTAAATTGATAAACATAACCAATTACAATATATATTTTTGAAAGCATTGTTACTTTACAAAATTGTTTCTCACCTGCCTAAAACTTTTGCACAGTACTATATGCTGGACCATCTTGAACCAGCATGCATACTGTATATTACTATACACTAGATCTACTGTAATCCATTCAAAGCTCCAAGATACAGCAGGCTAAGATCCCATGTTATGAATATTGTCCAAAGCTATCAACTTGTAAAATACCTTTTATAAATCAGGAACAGATTAGACAATAGCTAGAGCGGAATATTTACAGAACATTGTGTAATTTGAAATAGCAAAATGAATAAATATATAAACTTATAATTTAAATTTGGACAGGTACTAAAATTACCAATACTTTCAAGGAACACATTTTGCAATCGAAACTACAATGCAAATGTAAGTATAACTGCCATTTATACCTTTCGTACAGAGACTCTGCAGATGCAGGGATCCAGAATCCCTGTAGTGGCACTTGCACTTATTTTACATATAAATGAAAACCTCTTCTTCCAATGAACACAGTTTGCTTGCACCACCTCTCTGTAAATTGAAGAAATTACAAGATAATTAAAGACTGACAACACAGATTTGTTTTTTTCAGAAAAGCAAAGAAAAATAAAATAAACCCCACAGAGCTTAAGATACCATAGGTCAACTCCCTCCTACAATGATTAGTATCTTCTTTTCAATGTTAGTAGCCTTATTTACTATTTGTACTGTATCCAATATCTTAAAATATTTTTACCATTCTTATTCTTTAAAGCAGAGATTGGGATGATGCGTACAATATTTGGAAAAATATGTGTAGATAGGTAAGGTTGGTTCTGCCTTCATATGGAAATATGATTTGATTATTATAAGGAAACTAATCATGGACTCATACTTCCTACTTTCCTCACACATGGCCACTATTAATTTCTGAGCCTGATTTTCAGCAGATAAGATTTTGTGATTTTGTCTAAATAGAAGCTAATGCAGAGCTGCAAGACATCATTTGGTATATGTAGTATCTAAAGTGCCTTGATATTAAAAAGTAAAGACACAGAATGAAATGGAGGGCTCAGACGAAGGGAAAGAATTACTGCAACAAATAATTTCTTTCATCAATATGCTATTTTATTTTAATATAGCATGTTGTTGACTGTTAACTCCACAGTTTTAAATCAGATAAAACAAGTAAGAATATTGCAAGTCGAGATTGTATACCCCTGGCATTTGCTTATGCACAAAACAGTTGCCAGTACATTAACTCTTGACTTATCAAATGCTTTTAACACACATTAAAGTTAAAAAACCAAGCATGTCTGTGTTCAATCTCCTGATATTTTTTTAATATTCTTTTACTAAATGCTGAAGTGGTAGGCTATGAATCTCACTGGAGAGAAGGGATGGGGTGCTTAATTTCTCCCCATGTCATTTTTCTGATCAAAATGACCACCCTAACTGGCTTTCCCAACATGCTATCCATTCATTATGTAATATTCACTGTGATGAATAATAACCATTCAGTTCACATGTAAATGTTTTTAAAAAGAGAAGTAGGAAAATATTCTACTGGAGAATAAATGCACCTGCATTTCAAATAATTAAAAGTAGCAAATACTATTGAGTAATATTATCACATCATTCCATCCAGTTTACTTAAAATCTGACGATATGAAATCTGAAATACAGTGTTCTTTACAATATTAGAAAGCTGCTCAGAATGTTATACAAGCACAAAATATTCAGAGCACTTTTTCCGTTTTTAGAATGGAGGGGAGAGTTGTTAATTAGGTTCTGAATACCCAGATTCTGAATAATTTATTCTATCTTGAATTTGCTGGTGACCGCTCAAGTGCATTAATTTGTGTGGAAAATACATCCACCCACAGAACAAAACCTTTTTCTGAGAGAGAAGAAAATAACATCTGTGAAAAGCCAGTTGAGATTTTTAAACTAATACAACAAGAATAATAATACCATCCCACTACCTGGCTTTTGGCAGCCAGTCACTAACAAACTGATGTAATGTGGTTCTTGAAATATACATTATAGGAAACCACAGTTTCTGTAGTAACAAATGAGACAATCAATACTGAGGTCAAGGGAAAAAGCTTTTTGAGCACAATTAATGCTTTGGTGAATTCTTTTGCTCCTAAAAACACTTCTAAAAGCATGTGAGGAAGATGCAAGCTCTCTTTAAAATGAACTTGACTATCTTAAGTCAGGAAACAGTACAGTGGAAAAACTAGACTTGATTCCATTTAACAAAATAATGACAACAATTAACTAGAGTTTTATTTTTATTTTATTTTTATAGGGGAGAAGAAAGTATATTTTCACGGAGAGAACACATTAGCTGAGGAACAAGCTAGATTTAGAAGTGGCTGCTCTATTTTTGACCATGCTCTTATTCCACAACATCTGACAGAAAATACACTTCTACATCATGTGTGAAGCTATATACAGCCTTCATAGATTTCTTTCTCACACTCAGAATGGCTATTGTGAAGATTTTAGTTCTGGTTGGCTAATAATTGTATGCTACCTAATCTCATGGCTCTAAGCAGCTTACAACATTTTTTTTAATCTGTACATTCTGCCAGAAGCACTTTCAATTGCTGAGTTTAATATTATCTTTTGTTCAAGTGTCAGTCATTTGAGGAACAGGTTGTGCTATGCACAGAATGAACTAGGTAAAGTGTATTGTACACTTGCATGTAAGAGATTAAAAAACTAAAATATCTTCATTCAGTGGGAAAATAACTCAGAAAAGAAAGACTGAGCAAACAGCAGAACTTGAAGGCCCATAAAATATCTACACTAAAAGCCAAAAAAGTGCTGAATTTCGGGTTGTGTGGCCAATTAGCTGAGAAATGATTAGAGAGAAAATAGAATATAAATATATAAATAAGCAGCAACTAAGAAAGGAAGGAGAGTAGCCTAAAAGAACCAAAACAATGGTTGATGTCAAGAGATCACTGAAAAGCAGTATGAGTTGAGAATAGGTAAAGTCCCAGCAAAATGAACGGGTCAAGGTTATGAGTAGATAGTACAGAGGAATCTTTGGTGAGGTAGCTGGCAGAAGGAGAAGCAATTTCTGTATTCTTGCATCATAGTCCTGAGAAAAAGTTAGCTGTATCTTTTCCCAAGACTAGACAGGTACCCACCACAGTACTATCCAGAGAAAAGACACATTTGTCTTAAGGAGTTGCAGGCAGGTGTTATGTGCAAGTACCTGCTTTCTGAACACTTTTTTGCTTTGAATCTGAAGTGCTACAACCCTACTAGACAGGGTCATTTGCAGCGGGAAACCAAGAGGTCAAGATGACAAGCATGGTCATGATTGCGAAGTCCTGTTGACTGACATTTGCATGCACATACATGAGGTGGACCATGGATTGCATAGTCATGTGCGCCATCTTGACCCCTTGGCCTCCCATCATGGATGCCTCTGCTACTAGCCATATATTTTGTGACTTCCAGGCAACTGGCCATAATGAAGCATCTGTTGGAATTCAACTTTCCCTGCATGGCTTTCTGCACCTATAAACCTACAGTGGTACCTCAGGTTACGAATTTAATCCGTTCCGTGACTCTGGTCGCAACCTGATTTGTTCGCAACCCGAAGCAAATTTTCCCATAAGGTTCAATATAATTACCGTTAATCCGTTCCGGTGTCCGCAGACCACGCGTCAAGGGCGGAAAAACGGCCGCGGACTGCGCAGCAGGGCGGAAAAACGGCCGCGGACCGCGCGGCAGGGCGGAAAAACGGCCGCGAACCGCGCGGCAGGGTGGAAAAACGGCCGGGGACCACGTGGCACGGGCGGAAAAACGGCCGTGGACCATGTGGCACGGGCGGAAAATGGCCGCGGACCACGTGGCATGGGCGGGAAATGGCCACAGACCACGTGTCACGCGGAAAATGGCCGCGGATCCGGTTCGTACCCCGAGGCGAGTTTGCAAACCGAGGTAAATTTTTGCGGCCAGAGCTGGTCATAACCCGAAAAGTTCGTAAGCAGAGGTGTTCGTAACCCGAGGTACCACTGTATTGACTACGAGGGGCTATAGATGGAAAGATAGCTGAGGGATTCTCACTTTTATCTCCTTTCCTTGCCTCTATGTAACATCCTTTTCATCACTTCCTTCCTCTCTCAGCTCAGCTTTCCTCTTCTAACTCTGACCTATTCAGTTGAGAACATACCTGATTTGCTCTCTCTTTATAATGGAGATAATGGAGGATAGAAAAACACAGGCTTTTAGATGTAGATAGTCATCCATCTATCTATGTAGATAAGTCATCCTTTCCTATCACTATCACCATGAATCTGTGCAAAGGCCCTTTTGGCCAAAGCTGCCACCTATTCTTTGAGCAGGAGCTGTGAATCCAAGAGTACCCCAAGTTGCGCAGCAGTCTCAAATGGGGAAGCACAGCCCCATCCAAGACTAAAAATCATGAGTTGCCAGTATCAGGGGGTCCAAATATCCACAGCCACTTAATCTTGCCAGGATTGAATCTGAACCTCTTCTTCCCCAGCCAGACCTGAGGCAGGACATTGACAGCAACACTTGGATAGCCCAGAGTTGAGATATATCCTTGGCTATCATTAGCATACTGATAATACTAGATCCCGAACCAACAGATAATCTCACCCAGCAGTTTCATGTAGATGTTTGTAGGGAGTAAGGAAGATGATCTTGATGGAGATATGCAGGAGGGGATGAAGCATTTTTAAAGTCCAGAATGAGATAACATTTGGAAACAGCTCAGGCAGACACTTCCCTTATTCACTGAACTATAAGAACGAGAAGGAGGTACAGTACAATCAGCAAGATTCTGTTATAACCAATCTCAATAAAATTAATTTTAACCTTCTTATGGAGTTGATTTCTTGGTCTGATCTAGTTAGCGGGTCTGACAATGTTAAACAAAAGGGGTGATAGTATCAAACCTTGAGTCACCCCACAAATAAGGGGCTGCAGGCATCTCTCCCCACCCCGTCAACACCAATTGGAACCAGCTACAGAAAAAGGAGAACCACCATAATATGGTATCCCCCATTCCCAAGCCCTGCAACTAGTCCAAAAGCATACCATGATCAACAGTATCAAAAGCTACTCAGAAAGCAAGGAGCACAAGGATAGAGGCACCACTCATATCTTGCTTCTGCCAAAGATAATCAACTAGCACAACCAACTTTGTCTCCACTGTATCCCGCCCAAAACTTCACTGAAATGATCCCAGATAATCCACTTCTTCCAGGACTCTCTGCAAATGCTGTTTGACTACCTTCTCAATAACCTTCCCTAAAAAGCAAAGGTTGGAACCTGGATGATAGTTGTCCAGGATCACTAGGATGAACAGCCTCTAAGGAGCAGTGCACCACTGCCTTCTTCAAGGTCAAAGGAACCACCCCCTCTCTCAAAGAACCTGATACCACTGCATGGACCCAACTACAAGTCACCTCCTGGGCAGCTTTAATAATTCAGGAGAGACCTGGAACTAATAAGCAGGTGGCTGAACTCACAGCTTGAAAGATTCTGTCTTCATTAGGAAA